CTGGCCTGGCTTCTTAACAAGTGTCCAGAGACATAGCGACGCTTTCGCTCGCCGACGCAGCAACGGCCTTGAGTATTTTTCGTTCGTTGGCGTGCTGCTCGTGTGTCCAGTATTTTTCTCCTGACGTGCGACTGTTTTGTGAGGTTGGGCTTGTTTTTCTTGTTCGGCGGCATGATGAGCCATTTTATGGATTTTTGTAAATTGGAAATAGCCAAAAATTAAAGAAGCGCCAAATTTTAAAGTTGGGCAAATGTTGGTGAGTTTTGGCCGTTGTTCACGGGAAGAAAACGGGAGGGTTGGTCAGGAGAAAAACTTTCTGATACGACAACAGTGTTTTTTTCTGCACATTAAAGTAAACATTTTGAGAAAGCTCTGGTGCATCTCTACGTCATGGCGAGGGTCCCTGGTCACTACGAGCGACTCACTTCACGTCAGTTCACTTCCCGCTCACTCTTAGCGTCGCTTTGTGATACTAATAGGCCTTTTGCCAACTTCTGGCGCTCGGGCCTAATAATGTCATATTTTTTAAATTTTATATCCATAAACTTTGGAACATCATATTATAGGTTTTTTGAAACCTCTTGACCTTCCCCACGTCACCGTGGGGTCATTGGTGAGTGACGGGTTCGTCTGGACCATCTCGTTGAGGTCACCCATGACCTTCCATTGACTTCCATTCATTTTAGCAGTAGTACATATGGCTCAGGCCTTGGGCGTGGGTTACTGGGATACTGCTGTTCGTGCCGGGGCGACCGAGAGGACGAAGCTGCAGCACGTCCTCTCGTATTCGCCCTCGCGCTCGTCGTTGTGAAAGCAAAAGGCCCTACGCCCTGTCGGGGCTCAGGCCTAATAAGAAGATCAGAAGAAGAAGAAAGAAGAAAGAATAATACGTCACGGCGAGGCTCCCTGGTCACTACGGGCGAGTCACGTCGCCTCATTTCACTTCCCGTCCACTAGGAGCACCGCTGTGCCATACTAATATTAGTATTAGTACTTAGTGCACTGGCTGCGTCTGCATTCATGAAAATCTGATCATTTTGTACTTGTGGATTTTTGTCATAAAAACATCTGCAACATGGAACGTCTCATGAGGAATCAAAGCGTCATGTTTCAGCGTCCAAGGAAAACCGTCCATTAGAGATTTGAAGAAGTGTCCGTCTGCACTGGGACCTGCGTAAACTTGACTCTTTAGATTTATACTTTTCTGTAGAATAGAAGAGTACGAGCCACAGCCACGGAACAGAAACATGCAGCCTGTCACTCATCCTCATCCATACGCTCCAGTCTGGAATGTGAACAGAGCGGTTTAGGAGCCTCAAGGCCTCAGGTGTGTTTGAAAGGAAGAAAGAAAAAAAGCGATGTGTAAAATGTGTAAAATGTGTAAAATGTGTAAAATGTGCACGTAGGAGGAGGCAGGCTCAGATTCCTGGTGCGGTGAAACCAGTGGAGCCAGAGTTTATTCCACAGACTGTGCAGAGTGAACTCATCGTTGGGTTCAGATTTTAGATTGTTTTTTCGCTCCAAAGAAAAAACATTGGTTCATTTTGAACCTGATCATTTCTATTAACGACTATTCCCCAGAACTCAGTGTGTCACTAAATAAAACTCAAATCTCCATGAATAAAACTTTTATTCTTTTATCCTCAAACCTTTGAACGCTTCAGACCTGAGGGCAGTTTTACTACATTTGTCCTTGTCTGGATGATTTTCTTAATTTTGCTTTTAAAACTGCCCTTTTTACCCTGAAGTGTCCTACATCCTTTTTCACTCCTGGATGTTTTGTGTTTTACATTTTTCTGTAAAAAATACCAGATTTATATAGATTATTTTATTCACACGGCACATTTAACCACCTCAGGCTCTTGTGCTGATCACAGACAGAACACCCCTCTGACACAGAGAGAACACCCCTCTGACACAGAGAGAACACCCCTCTGTCACACAGAGAGAACACCCCCTCTGACACACAGAGAGAACACCCCTCTGACACAGAGAGAACACCCCTCTGACACACAGACAGAGAGAACACCCCTCTGACACACAGAGAGAACACCCCTCTGTCCACAGAGAGAGAACACCCCTCTGACACACAGAGAGAAACACCCCTCTGTCACACAGAGAGAACACCCCTCTGTCACAGAGAGAGAACACCCCTCTGTCACAGAGAGAGAACACCCCTCTGTCACACAGAGAGAACACCCCTCTGTCACAGAGAGAACACCCCTCTGTCACAGAGAGAGACACAGAACCCCCTCTGTCACAGAGAGAGAACACCCCTCTGTCACACAGAGAGAACACCCCTCTGTCACAGAGAGAACACCCCTCTGTCACACAGAGAGAACACCCCTCTGTCACACAGAGAGAACACCCCTCTGACACACAGAGAGAACACCCCTCTGACACACAGAGAGAACACCCCTCTGACACAGAGAGAACACCCCTCTGACACACAGAGAGAACACACACCCTCTGTCACAGAGAGAACACCCCTCTGTCACAGAGAGAAACACCCCTCTGACACACAGAGAGAACACCCCTCTGTCACACAGAGAGAACACCCCTCTGACACACAGAGAGAACACCCCTCTGACACAGAGAGAACACCCCTCTGTCACACAGAGAGAACACCCCTCTGACACAGAGGAGAACACCCCTCTGTCACACAGAGAGAACACCCTCTGACACACAGAGAGAACACCCCTCTGACACAGAGAGAACACCCCTCTGTCACACAGCAGAGAGAACACCCCTCTGTCACAGAGAGAACACCCCTCTGTCACAGAGAAGAACACCCCCTCTGTCACACAGAGAGAACACCCCTCTGTCACAGAGAGAGAAACACCCCTCTGTCACAGAGAGAGAACACCCCTCTGTCACAGAGAGAACACCCCTCTGACACACAGAGAGAACACCCCTCTGTCACAGAGAGAACACCCCTCTGTCACACAGAGAGAACACCCCTCTGACACAGAGAGAGAACACCCCTCTGTCACAGAGAGAACACACCCCTCTGTCACACAGAGAGAAACACCCCTCTGACACAGAGAGAACACCCCTCTGTCACAGAGAGAGAAACCCCTCTGACACAGAGAGAACACCCCTCTGACACAGAGAGAACACCCCTCTGACACAGAGAGAACACCCCTCTGTCACACAGAGAGAACACCCCTCTGTCACACAGAGAGAACACCCCTCTGACACAGAGAGAGAACACCCCTCTGTCACAGAGAGAGAACACCCCTCTGACACACAGAGAGAACACCCCTCTGACACAGAGAGAACACCCCTCTGACACAGAGAGAACACACCCCTCTGTCACAGAGAGAACACCCCTCTGACACACAGAGAGACACCCCTCTGTCACAGAGAGAACACCCCTCTGTCACACAGAGAGAACACCCCTCTGTCACACAGAGAGAACACCCCTCTGACACAGAGAGAACACCCTCTCTGACACACAGAGAGAACACCCCTCTCTGTCACAGAGAGAACACCCCTCTGACACAGAGAGAGAACACCCCTCTGTCACAGAGAGAACACCCCCTCTGACACAGAGAGAACACCCCTCTGTCACACAGAGAGAACACCCCTCTGACACAGAGAGAACACCCCTCTGTCACACAGAGAGAACACCCCTCTGTCACAGAGAGAGAACACCCCTCTGACACACAGAGAGAACACCCCTCTGACACAGAGAGAACACCCCTCTGTCACAGAGAGAGAACACCCCTCTCACCTGTCACAGAGAGAGAACACCCCTCTGACACAGAGAGAACACCCTCTCTGACACAGAGAGAAACACCCCTCTGTCACACAGAGAGAACACACCCCTCTGTCACAGAGAGAACACCCCTCTGACACAGAGAGAACACCCCTCTGTCACACAGAGAGAACACCCCTCTGACACAGAGAGAACACTCATATTCCACTGAACACAAACTGAACCACATCAGACACAAGAAACACCACTCACATACACACTAGTGTGAATGAAAAACGTAAAACGGACTAAACCAGGTCTAAACCAGGACTATCCATTTTTCCATTTTCGTCCGCTTATCCGGGGTCGGGTCGCGGGGGCAGCAGCCTAAGCAGGGACTCCCAGACTTCCTTCACCCCAGACACGTCCTCCAGCTCCTCCGGGGGGACCCCGAGGTGTTCCCAGGCCAGTCCAGAGACATAGTCCCTCCAGTGTGTCCTGGGTCTTCCCCGGGGCCTCCTCCCGGTGGGACATGAACACCTCCTGAGGGACACGTCCAGGAGGCATCCGGAACAGATGCCCGAGCCTCAACTGGCTCCTCTCCACGTGGAGGAGCAGCGGCTCTACTCCGAGCTCCTCCCGTGTGACTGAGCTCCTCACTCTGTCTCTAAGGGAGACGCCCAGACGCCCTGCGGAGGAAACTCATTTCGAGCGCTTGTATCCGCGATCTCGTCCTTTCGGTCACTACCCAGACTCATGACCAGAGGTGAGAGGAGGAACGAAGACTGACCGGTAAATCGAGAGCTTCACCTTTCGACTCAGCTCCTCTTCACCACAACGACCGATACAGCGACCGCATCACTGCAGACGCTGCACCTGTCCACCTGTCAATCTGCCCACGCTGCACCTGTCCACCTGTCAATCTCACGCTCCATCCTCCCCTCACTCGTGAACAAGACCCCGACAGACTTGAACTCCTCCACTTGAGGTAAAGACTCTCCACCCACTCGGAGAGGGCAAAACGCCTTTTTCCAGTCGAGAACCATGGCCTCAGACTTAGAAGAGCTGATCTTCATCCCAGACGCTTCACACTCGGGTCAAACCGCCCCAGTGCTGCAGGTCCTGGTTCGATGAAGCCAACAGGACAACATCATCCGCAAACAGCAGAGATGAGATCCTGTGGTCCCCAAACCGGACCCCCTCCGGCCCCTGACTGCGCCTAGAAATTCTAAACCAGGACTAAACCAGGACTACACCAGGACTAAACCAGGACTAAACCAGGACTAAACCAGGACTAAACCAGGTCTAAACCAGGTCTAAACCAGGAGTAAACCAGGACTAAAACCAGGAAACCAGGACTAAACCAGGACTAAACCAGGTCTAAACCAGGACTAAACCAGGACTAAACCAGGTCTAAACCAGGACTAAACCAGGTCTAAACCAGGACTAAACCAGGACTAAACCAGGTCTAAACCAGGAACTAAACCAGGACTAAACCAGGTCTAAACCAGGACTAAACCAGGACTAAACCAGGTCTAAACCAGGACTAAACCAGGACTAAACCAGGTCTAAACCAGGACTAAACCAGGAGTAAACCAGGACTAAACCAGGACTAAACCAGGTCTAAACCAGGACTAAAACCAGGTCTAAACCAGGTCTAAACCAGGACTAAACCAGGAGTAAAACCAGGACTAAACCAGGTCTAAACCAGGACTAAACCAGGACTAAACCAGGTCTAAACCAGGACTAAACCAGGACTAAACCAGGACTAAACCAGAAAACCAGTAAACCAGGACTAAACCAGGTCTAAACCAGGACTAAACCAGGACTAACTAAACCAGAACTAAACCAGGACTAAACCAGGACTAAACCAGGTCTAAACCAGGAACTAAACCAGGACTAAACCAGGTCTAAACCAGGACTAAACCAGGACTAAACCAGGTCTAAACCAGGACTAAACCAGGACTAAACCAGGTCTAAACCAGGACTAAACCAGGACTAAACCAGAACTAAACCAGGACTAAACCAGGACTAAACCAGGTCTAAACCAGAACTAAACCAGGACTAAACCAGGACTAAACCAGGACTAAACCAGGACTAAACCAGGTCTAAACCAGGACTAAACCAGGACTAAACCAGAACTAAACCAGGACTAAACCAGGACTAAACCAGGTAAACCAGGTCTAAACCAGGACTAAACCAGGACTAAACCAGGTCTAAACCAGGACTAAACCAGGACTAAACCAGGACTAAACCAGGACTAAACCAGGACTAAACCAGGACTAAACCAGGACTAAACCAGGAACTAAACCAGGACTAAACCAGGTCTAAACCAGGACTAAACCAGGACTAAACCAGAACTAAACCAGGACTAAACCAGGACTAAACCAGGTCTAAAGCAGGACTAAACCAGGACTAAACCAGGTCTAAACCAGGACTAAACCAGGACTAAAACCAGGACTTAACCAGGACTAAACCAGGTCTAAACCAGGACTAAACCAGGACTAAACCAGGTCTAAACCAGGACTAAACCAGGTCTAAACCAGGTCTAAACAGGACTAAAACCAGGACTAAAACCAGGTCTAAACCAGGACTAAACCAGGACTAAACCAGGACTTAAACCAGGACTAAACCAGGTCTAAACCAGGACTAAACCAGGACTAAACCAGGTCTAAACCAGGACTAAACCAGGTCTAAACCAGGACTAAACCAGGACTAAACCAGGACTAAACCAGGACTAACCAGGACTAAACCAGGTCTAAACCAGGACTAAACCAGGACTAAACCAGGTCTAAACCAGGACTAAACCAGGACTAAACCAGGACTAAACCAGGACTAAACCAGGTCTAAACCAGGACTAAAACCAGGACTAAACCAGGTCTAAACCAGGACTAAACCAGGACTAAACCAGGTCTAAACCAGGACTAAACAGGACTAAACCAGGACTAAACCAGGTCTAAACCAGGACTAAACCAGGACTAAACCAGGACTAACCAGGACTAAACCAGGAAACCAGGACTAAACCAGGACTAAACCAGGACTAAACCAGGACTAAACCAGGTCTAAACCAGGACTAAACCAGGACTAAACCAGGACTAAACCAGACTAAAACCAGGTCTAAACCAGGACTAAACCAGGACTAAACCAGGACTAAACCAGGACTAAACCAGGTCTAAACCAGGACTAAACCAGGACTAAACCAGGTCTAAACCAGGACTAAACCATGCCAAACAACAAAACTGTACCTGTAACAAAATAATTTGTAAAAAATGACAAAAAATCCTCTTGGTGATATATCGATACATCAGCCCACGATATCGATCCTGTATCATCACATTATACGACACGATATATCGATATTTTGATATTTTACCACAGCTCCGTCTGGGATCAGTGCACATCAAACTGTGTCCTCAACAGCTTTGACTTCAACTTTTTTCTTTTTCCCTTGTTCTTTGCCCAAAGCAAGAAAAATGTCTGATGAACCAATTATTCAAAAACATTATTTAAAAAAAATAAAAATTGGGGCGTGGGCCATCTGAGTGTGCTGTGCATTTTTTTCACTTTTATTTTGCTGTTCCTTGTGTTTGCACCACTACAAGAAGTTTGGTGCGTGTTTTTTTATTTGATGTTGTTTCTTGGTTCCAACTGGAAATAAAACCGGGTCGATTCAGGCTCCGCAGTTCCTCCGCGCGCCGCTGAGAGGCGCCACTGAGCCCCGCAGCAGCAGCGTCGTGAGCCCCGCAGCCCCGCGGAAACTCTCTGGACCGGATCCGGCGCAGGTGCATCGCTCCGAACCTCCGAACCTCCGAGCCTCCTCCTCCGCCCGGTGCATGCGCCGCGTCTGACCGCGTCCGCAGCCATGGCGTCCCGGCGGCCCGACAGCTTCGACGGGCTGGGCTACAGGCTGGCCCCGGACCCGCAGCTCCAGTACCGGGTCACGACTCCTCCGGACATCCCGGGCAGCCGCAACCTGCACCGGAGCCCGCAGTACGAGGACCCGGGGGCAGAGGCCGGGGCCTACAGAGCGGCGGCCGGCTGGGACGCGCCGCAGCCCGGCCTCCCTCCCTCCGGTAAGTCGGTGCGGGGCGCGGGGGTAGCGGCTAACAGGCTAATGACAGGCTAATGACAGGCTAACTGAGCTAACGCGCTCGGGGCCCGGTTGTGAAGGGCGAGTGTCCGCGAACCCGAAGGTCAGAGCCGGAACATGCGGAGCGGAGGACAGCCCGGCGCCGTGGGACAGTTGGCCGCTGTTGACACGTCTCAGTCGGCTGTGATTTCTTAGAAGAGTCGGTGTAGCAGGACGCGGCTAACGCCGAGCTAACGCGGAGCTAACAGGCTAACAAGCTAACAACAACAACAAGCAGCGGGGACAGAGCGGGGGACAGAGCGGGGACACAGCGGGGGACACAGCGGGGACAGAGCGGGGACAGAGCGGGGGACACAGCGGGGACACAGCGGGGACACAGCGGGGACACAGCGGGACAGCGGGGGACAGCGGGGACACAGCGGGGACAGGGGGACACAGCGGGGACACAGCGGGGACACAGCGGGGACACAGCGGGGACACAGCGGGGGACAGAGCGGGACAGAGCGGGGACAGCGGGGACACAGCGGGACACAGCGGGGACACAGCGGGGGACAGCGGGGACAGCGGGGGCGGGGACACAGCGGGGGACACAGCGGGGACAGAGCGGGGACACAGCGGGGACAGAGCGGGGAGGAGCAGGTGCGCGGGGCCGGGCACAGGCCTCAGCAGCGGGTCATCTCAGGTCAGGCTCTCGGATCTGCTCACGGACATCCATCCATCCATCCATTTTCGTCCGCTTATCCGGGGTCGGGTCGCGGGGGCAGCAGCCTAAGCAGGGACTCCCAGACTTCCTTCACCCCAGACACGTCCTCCAGCTCCTCCGGGGGGACCCCGAGGTGTTCCCAGGCCAGTCCAGAGACATAGTCCCTCCAGTGTGTCCTGGGTCTTCCCCGGGGCCTCCTCCCGGTGGGACATGAACACCTCCTGAGGGACACGTCCAGGAGGATCAGAACAGATGCCCGAGCCTCAACTGGCTCCTCTCCACGTGGAGGAGCAGCGGCTCTACTCCGAGCTCCTCCCGTGTGACTGAGCTCCTCACTCTGTCTCTAAGGGAGACGCCCAGACGCCCTGCGGAGGAAACTCATTTCGAGCGCTTGTATCCGCGATCTCGTCCTTTCGGTCACTACCCAGAGCTCATGACCAGAGGTTCCTCCTTGAACCATCACCTTATCGTGGTGGAGGGTTTGATGCCCGAATGATCCCGGGAGCTATGTTGTCGGGGGCTTCATGCCCCTGGTCGGGTCACCCAAGGCAAACAGGTCCGGGGGGACGGGTCAGACGAAGAACGGTTCAGAAGCCCCTTATGATGAGTGCAACACAGAGGCCAGTTACGTCACCCGGATTGGCGTCACCGGGGCCTCACCCTGGGGTGGGAGCTCATCAGCGAGCGCCTGGTGGCCGAGCCTCCCCCCACGGGGCTCGGCCGGGCTCAGCCCGAAGGAGCGACGTGGGGCCGTCCTCACGTGGGCCCACCACCCGCGGGAGGAGCCATATGGGGCCGGTGCAGAGAGATCTGGGCGGCAGTCGACGGCGGGGGCCTCGGCGACCGGATCTCCAGACATGGAGACTGTGGCTCTGGGGACATGCTCACGGACAGTGTTGGGAAATTACTTTTAAATGTAATCCCCTACAGATTACAGATTACAGATTACACACCCCAAAATGTAGTTTGTAACGGAATCCAAAAATTTACATTTACACACACACATTCACACACACACATTTACATTTACACACACATTTTCACACACACACACATTTACACACACACACACACACACACACATTTACACACACACTTACATTTACACACATTTACATTTACACACACACATATTTACACACACACACACACACACACACACACATTTACACACACACACACATTTACACACACACACACACATTTACACACACACACACATTTACACACACACACACATTTACACACACACACACATTTACACACACACATTTACACACACACACACACACACATTTACACACACACATTTACACATAAACAGAAGCAGAGGTTCACAGACCTACAGCGAGACACTTCAGACGACGTGAAAAAGGTCGATTAGAACAGAATGATCTTTGGTGTAATATTTCCTGGTCATTCTTGATGTTTGAAACATCATTAGATCATTGACATTTTTCTTTCAGTGAATTATTGAAGTATTAAGTTTACCTCAGTAATGTTTATTTTTAGTATTTATGTTGCGTCTGTGGCTTGTGATTTAAGACGAGTGCAGGTGCATCGTGGGAATGTGCACGGGAGCCAAACAGTTTATCTTTTTTTTCTTTTACCTCCTGTCGCTCTTTACCTGTAAAAATTCTACTTCGGCGACCGACTCCAGATGGAGACTGTGGCTCTGGGGACACTCACGGACAGTGTTGGGAAATTACTTTTAAAATGTAATCACAGATTACAGATTACAGATACACACCCCAAAATGTAGTTTGTAACAATCAAAAATTTACATTTACACACACACATTCACACACACACATTTACATTTACACACACACATTTTCACACACACACACACACATTTACACACACACACACACACACACACATTTACACACACACTTACATTTACACACATTTACATTTACACACACACATATTTACACACACACACACACACACATTTACACACACACACACACATTACACACACACACACATTACACACACACACACATTTACACACACACACATTTACACACACACACACATTTACACACACACACACACATTTACACACACACACACACACACACACACACACATTTACACACACACACACACACACACACATTTACACACACACATTTACACATAAAACCATGAAGCAGAGGTTCCACAGACCTACAGCGAGACACTTCAGACGACGTGAAAAAGGTCGATTAGAACAGAATGATCTTTGGTGTAATATTTCCTGGTCATTCTTGATGTTTGAAACATCATTAGATCTATTGACATTTTTCTTTCAGTGAATTATTGAAGTATTAAGTTTACCTCAGTAATGTTTATTTTTAGTATTTATGTTGCGTCTGTGGCTTGTGATTTAAGACGAGTGCAGGTGCATCGTGGGAATGTGCACGGGAGCCAAACAGTTTATCTTTTTTTCTTTTACCTCCTGTCGCTCTTTACCTGTAAAAATTCTACTTTTGTTTATTTGTGTGCTCGACTCTGCGTGAATCCTCAGTAAAGAGTTTGGAGCTGCACTCGGATCGTTCTCTGAGGATTTATTTCACTCTTGAGGCGTTTTAAGGTGGAACACCTTAAACACTTTTTACTGATTGTCTGTTGTGTTTTTGTTTGTTTTCAGAGCAGCTGAACCGATTCGCCGGATTTGGGATCGGACTGGTCAGGTGAGACATGTTTTCCCGTTTAAAGCTTTAGAAACTGAACCGTGCGGCACTTGTTTCTACGGAGACGTGACTGTTCTGCCTGGAATGTTCCACAGGCGTGATGTTAAACGGCTCGACTTCACATTTACTCGATCACAGGGTGGTTTTAGAGCGGGGTCGGCCTCTCCGCAGAGCTGACCCAGGCCTCCGTCTGGTTGGGTCTCCGTGGAGATAGAAAGGTTTAATGCCGCACTGTGGAACATTCCAGACGAAGCAAGAACATCTCCATGGAGAAAAAAAATAACATCTGAACACCAGAAAAGCTACACAGTGCAGCTTTAAAGAGCATGTGTTCTGCAAAATCAATGTTTTATAATTTGGGTTCGGTTAAGATTATGGTTCGTCTTAGATTAGGGTTCGATTATATTTAGTGTTCGATTATGTTTAGGGTTTGATTTTAGTTAGATTGAGGTTAGATTAGGGTTAGGTTGTGGTTAGGGTCGGGGTGGGCAAATTTTTTGGGTCGTGGACCACAAAGGATTCTAAAATTTGATGGAAGCTCCAGACCAGGAGCAGATGGATGGAGGGTTTTGATAAATCCACCTAGAATTTAGAATTTCTTTATTTGGAGGATAAGCCCCTTGAGAGTCTTGCCATCTCGTTTTTGAAGGGTTCCTCACAACAACAAAAGACAAATACAACAAAAGACAAATACAACAAAAGACAACAAAATACAGTCGGGCAGACAGTAGGATACGCAATTAAAAAAGCATGAAAACAACAAAATCAACACAACCAACCACACACACACTCTCACACTTGACTGTTTGACATATGATAAAACAAGTTTGGGGAAAAAAAAGCAAAAAAAATAAACAGAGTTTAAAGATAATCACAACAAGATGAACAACAAAAATTCACCAAAATGATCAAAAACAAAGACATGGGTTCTGTAAATATTGAACCAGAGCTTTTTTAAACGAAGGGACTGAAGTTAACGCACGAATCGATGAAGTAAGATCGTTCCAATCAGAAGGAGATTTATATTTAAATGTTTTCCTATTTGTTTTTTGACTCTCGGGATGAGAAAAAATCTCTGATCTGCGTGGCGTGAACTGTAAGAGGATCTGAACGGAATTAAATACTGTTTAAGATCTTCAGGAAAACTGAGATGAATCATTTAAAGATGAATAAAAACAGTGAAGTTGACGTCGGGAGCAGGACAGAGGGTGGAACCTCGTACCTCATAAAAGAAAAAAAATCACATGGGATCTGTAGAAAACTTGTGCTTCAGTTTCAGTTGAAAATCATTACAAAACATCACAACAAATTATCTGTGTTTAAAGTCTGGTTACTGAAATGACTCTTAAAACACTGGAAATTCAATCAATACAATACAGTTTTTAATCACTACCAGTCACTATTTTAAAGCTCTGAAGGTCGTTCTCTTCAGGATCTTCTCATCATCTTCATCACTGTCGTCCTGACTCTTTATGTTCCAAAACCTGTAGGAGACACAGATCTACTCGTCCTGCTCCAACCACCAGCTCCAGGACGTGGGCAGTGTCTGCGCCTGCGGGCTCGTTAGATTAGATCTGTTGTGCTTTGTTTATAATGACAACATACATGCACGCCGCTCACGCGCACGCCTGAACATGCATTTTTACACAACGGCAGAGAAACTTCTTTAGATTTCCGTGCTGTTGTGTCTTTTTCTCCAGAGCGTCAAAGTCTGGAGTGAGTTTTGTTGTGGTGATTCTCACGATGTGTCCGTGTGGTGTCGGAATGATCGGAAAAATGACTTTCCCACTGGCATAAAACGCCGCACCACAACAAAGGTCAACGTATCTGCAGAGCGCCATCTACTGGGAAACGCAGGAAAAATAAAACATTAACGAGGTTTATTAGTAGAATTTAAAAGAGTTTGGCGAGACGGATTAAAAGGTTTAAAGGGCCGCAGTTTGCCCGGGGTTACAGTGTGGTTAAATTAAGGTTAGATTAAAGTTAGGTTAGGGTTATGTTTTGGTTAAATTACGGTCAGGTTTTGGTTTGTGTTCTTCTAATGACGTCGTGTTTTGTTTTCAGTTTGTTCACTGAGAACGTTCTGGCTCATCCCTGTATCGTGTTCCGCCGCCAGTGTCAGGTCAGACTCTGCTCTCTGATTGGCTGTGTCCTCTGTTTTCTTCTCTCTGATTGGCTGTGTTCTCTGTTGTTCTTCTCTCTGATTGGCTGTGTTCCTCAGGTGAACGTCCACGCTCGCTGTTTTCACCTGACGCCCTTCAGCGCCGTGTCCGTCATGTACAGCATCAGTAAAGCCCAGGTAACGACCTGAGCCACGACCTGAACCACGACCTGACCCATGACTTGAGCCATGAACTAACACACAAGTGGACGCACAACTGGAAACACAATCTGGCAATGAACCCGGACCCTGACCCTGACCGTTTGATGATGTTTGTGTGTTTGTGTGTTCAGGGTGTGCGTTCTGTGTGTGTGTTTTGTGTGTGTGTGTGTTGTGCGTTTGATGACGTTTGTGTGTTTGTGTGTTCAGGGTGTGCGTTCTCTGTGGAAGGGCATGGGCAGCACGTTCATCGTTCACGGCGTGACGCTCGGCGCCGAGGGCATCATCAGCGAGTTCACGCCGTTACCACGGTAACCACAGTAACTACAGTTTGTCTTAAGACGTGCACGTGTTCAGTGTGTGTTCAGTGTGTGTGCACGTGTTCAGTGTGTGTTCAGTGTGTGTGCACGTGTTCAGTGTGTGTGCACGTGTTCAGTGTGTGTTCAGTGTGTGTGCACGTGTTCAGTGTGTGTTCAGTGTGTGTGCACGTGTTCAGTGTGTGTGCACGTGTTCAGTGTGTGTTCAGTGTGTGGGCACGTGTTCAGTGTGTGTTCAGTGTGTGTGCACGTGTTCAGTGTGTGTGCACGTGTTCAGTGTGTGTGTGTGTGCACGTGTTCAGTGTGTGTTCAGTGTGTGTGCACGTGTTCAGTGTGTGTTCAGTGTGTGTGCACGTGTTCAGTGTGTGTTCAGTGTGTGTGCACGTGTTCAGTGTGTGTTCAGTGTGTGTGCACGTGTTCAGTGTGTGTCATGTTGTGTGTGTTGTGTTTGTGTTGTGTGTGTCGTGTGTGTTTCATGTGTGTGTTGTGTGTTTCATGTGTGTGATGTGTGTGTCGTGTGTGTTGTGTGTTTCATGTGTGTGTCGTGTGTGTTTCGTGTGTGTTTCATGTGTGTGTGTTGTGTGTTTCAGGGAGCTTCCTCATCGGTGGAGTTGGAGACAGTTGGCTGGTCACCTGCTGCTCAAAGGGTCAGTCTTCTTCTTCTCCTTCTTTTTCTTCTTTTTCTTCTTCTCTTTAAACTCTGTCTCTTCTTTTTCTTTATGATGTCACTTCCTGTTCAGGTTGACGGCCGTCGTGGCTTTGCCGTTTTACTGCTCCAGCCTCATCGACACCGTACAGGTGAGATCTGAGCACGCTCAGTGTCACGTTCACTTTTACACTGTTACAGTGTCATTAAATACACTTTTACACTGTTAGTGTCATTAAATACACTTTTACACTGTCAGTGTCATTACATGTCACTTTAGTCACACTTTTACACTGTTAGTGTCATTAAATACACTTTTACACTGTTAGTGTCATTAAATACACTTTTACACTATTAGTGTCATTAAATACACTTTTACACTGTTAGTGTCATTAAATACACTTTTACACTGTTAGTGTCATTAAATACACTTTTACACTGTTAGTGTCATTAAATACACTTTTACACTATTAGTGTCATTAAATACACTTTTACACTGTTAGTGTCATTAAATACACTTTTACACTGTCACAGTGTCATTAAATACACTTTTACACTGTCACAGTGTCATTAAATACACTTTTACACTGTTACAGTGTCATTAAATACACTTTTACACTGTTACAGTGTCATTAAATACACTTTTACACTGTTACAGTGTCATTAAATACACTGTTACAGTGTCATTAAATACACTTTTACACTGTCACAGTGTCATTAAATACACATTTACACTGTCACAGTGTCATTAAATACACTTTTACACTGTCACAGTGTCATTAAATACACTTTTACACTGTTAGTGTCATTAAATACACTTTTACACTGTTAGTGTCATTAAATACACTTTTACACTGTCACAGTGTCATTAAATACACTTTTACACTGTCAGTGTCATTAAATACACTTTTACACTGTCAGTGTCATTAAATACACTTTTACACTGTCACAGTGTCATTAAATACACTTTTACACTGTTACAGTGTCATTAAATACACTTTTACACTGTCAGTGTCATTAAATACACTTTTACACTGTTAGTGTCATTAAATACACTTTTACACTGTCACAGTGTCATTAAATACACTTTTACACTGTTACAGTGTCATTAAATACACTTTTACACTGTTACAGTGTCATTAAATACACTTTTACACTGTTACAGTTCATTAAATACACTTTTACACTGTCACAGTGTCATTAAATACACTTTTACACTGTTACAGTGTCATTAAATACACTTTTACACTGTTACAGTGTCATTAAATACACTTTTACACTGTTACAGTGTCATTAAATACACTGTTACAGTGTCATTAAATACACTTTTACACTGTCACAGTGTCATTAAATACACTTTTACACTGTCACAGTGTCATTAAATACACTTTTACACTGTCACAGTGTCATTAAATACACTTTTACACTGTTAGTGTCATTAAATACACTTTTACACTGTTACAGTGTCATTAAATACACTTTTACACTATTAGTGTCATTAAATACACTTTTACACTATTAGTGTCATTAAATACACTTTTACACTGTCAGTGTCATTAAATACACTTTTACACTGTCAGTGTCATTAAATACACTTTTACACTGTCAGTGTCATTAAATACACTTTTACACTATTAGTGTCATTAAATACACTTTTACACTATTAGTGTCATTAAATACACTTTTACACTGTTAGTGTCATTAAATACACTTTTACACTGTTAGTGTCATTAAATACACTTTTACACTGTTAGTGTCATTAAATACACTTTTACACTGTTACAGTGTCATTAAATACACTTTTACACTGTTACAGTGTCATTAAATACACTTTTACACTGTTACAGTGTCATTAAATACACTTTTACACTGTTACAGTGTCATTAAATACACTTTTACACTATTAGTGTCATTAAATACACTTTTACACTGTTGGTGTCATTAAATACACTTTTACACTGTCACAGTGTCATTAAATACACTTTTACACTGTCACAGTGTCATTAAATACACTTTTACACTGTTGCAGTGTCATTAAATACACTTTTACACTGTTAAAGTGTCATTAAATACACTTTTACACTGTTAAAGTGTCATTAAATACACTTTTACACTGTTACAGTGTCATTAAATACACTTTTACACTGTTACAGTGTCATTAAATACACTGTTACAGTGTCATTAAATACACTTTTACACTGTCACAGTGTCATTAAATACACTTTTACACTGTTACAGTGTCATTAAATACACTTTTACACTGTTAGTGTCATTAAATACACTTTTACACTGTTAGTGTCATTAAATACACTTTTACACTGTTAGTGTCATTAAATACACTTTTACACTGTCAGTGTCATTAAATACACTTTTACACTGTTAGTGTCATTAAATACACTTTTACACTGTTACAGTGTCATTAAATACACTTTTACACTGTTAGTGTCATTAAATACACTTTTACACTGTTAGTGTCATTAAATACACTTTTACACTGTCAGTGTCATTAAATACACTTTTACACTGTCACAGTGTCATTAAATACACTTTTACACTGTCACAGTGTCATTAAATACACTTTTACACTGTTAGTGTCATTAAATACACTTTTACACTGTTACAGTGTCATTAAATACACTTTTACACTGTTACAGTGTCATTAAATACACTTTTACACTGTTAGTGTCATTAAATACACTTTTACACTGTCACAGTGTCATTAAATACACTTTTACACTGTTAGTGTCATTAAATACACTTTTACACTGTTACAGTGTCATTAAATACACTTTTACACTGTTACAGTGTCATTAAATACACTTTTACACTGTCACAGTGTCATTAAATACACTTTTACACTGTTAGTGTCATTAAATACACTTTTACACTGTTACAGTGTCATTAAATACACTTTTACACTGTCACAGTGTCATTAAATACACTTTTACACTGTTAGTGTCATTAAATACACTTTTACACTGTCACAGTGTCATTAAATACACTTTTACACTGTTACAGTGTCATTAAATACACTTTTACACTGTCACAGTGTCATTAAATACACTTTTACACTGTTACAGTGTCATTAAATACACTTTTACACTGTTACAGTGTCATTAAATGCACTTTTACACTGTTACAGTGTCATTAAATACACTTTTACACTATTAGTGTCATTAAATACACTTTTACACTATTAGTGTCATTAAATACACTTTTACACTGTTAGTGTCATTAAATACACTTTTACACTGTTAGTGTCATTAAATACACTTTTACACTGTTAGTGTCATTAAATGCACTCTTGATTAATAATAATATTAATAATAATAATAATACTTGTGCACTAAAGTGTGAGTGACGTCTGGTGTTGTTTTTCAGAGTGAGATCGTGCGTGACGACTCCGCCTCGCTCCTCGACTGCCTGCGGGAGGCGCTGTCTCGTGTTCTGGGTATCGGTGCTCCTCACAGTCGGCGTCTGCTGCCGCTGAGCGCTCTGCTGTTCCCCGCCGCGCTGCACGCCGTCCTCAAGTACTGCGTGTCCACCTGCGTCCAGAGGGCGGCGCTGTGGCTCCTGCAGCGGCGCAGGAAGGAAGGTACGAACGGACGAGGCTCCAGTTTGAAATGTAGAAAGATTTAAACATCAATATTTAATCAAAGGACTGAAGTCTGATCAGCAGAATGTTCCGTGTACATACAGAACGTGTGTTCCGTGTGTTCCGTGTGACTCTGTAGTTTAATAACCAGAATGTTCCGGATGTTCCGTGTGTTCCGTGTGACTCTAGTTTAATAATCAGAATGTTCCGGATGTTCTGTGTGTTCCGTGTGACTCTGTAGTTTAATAACCAGAATGTTCCGGATGTTCCGTGTGTTCCGTGTGACTCTAGTTTAATAATCAGAATGTTCCGGATGTTCTGTGTGTTCCGTGTGACTCTGTAGTTTAATAACCAGAATGTTCCGGATGTTCCGTGTGTTCCGTGTGACTCTGTAGTTTAATAATCAGAATGTTCCGGATGTTCCGTGTGTTCCGTGTGACTCTGTAGTTTAATAATCAGAATGTTCCGGATGTTCCGTGTGTTCCGTGTGACTCTAGTTTAATAATCAGAATGTTCCGGATGTTCCGTGTGTTCCGTGTGACTCTAGTTTAATAATCAGAATGTTCCGGATGTTCCGTGTGTTCCGCAGAGGCGTCCGACCCTCTGGACTCGTACTTCGTGGACTTGGCGTCGCAGTGGGCGGGGTCTCTCTTCTCGGACGTGCTGTGTTTCCCTCTGGAGACGGTTCTTCACCGTTTGGCGCTGCAGGGAACTCGCACCATCATCGACCACACGGAGCAGGGCGGCGCTCTTCAGGTTCTGCCCGTCAACACGCAGTACGACGGGTTCTCCGACTGCCTCTCCTCCGTCCGACACAAAGAGGGCGCCGCCTCCTTCTACCGCGGCGTCGGCGCGCTCACGGCGCAGTACGCCCTGCACGCCGCGCTGCTCGCCCTGAGCCGCGCCGCGCTCAGGCTCGCCATGGACGCCAAAGCTCTGCGGGCGTGACCGCGATATGCAAATCAGGCCACGCCCAAATATGGCCGCAGGAAGAGACTTGTGACGTGTTTAGATTATTTATCCCGAAGTTCATTTAAAACTAGAGTCTGCGAGAAATGACCTGCCCAAGTCCAGCGCTGGAACCACCCGAGGACCCGAGGGACCCGAGGGACCCGAGGGACCTGAAGGACCTGGAGGACCCGAGGGACCCGACTGAGGGACCTGAGGGACCCGTGAGTCTGACGTTTTAAACGTTTGGCTGAAACTCCGGCCGTGGTTTTCTGTGTTCTGTTTGTTCTGTTCTGGTTCCTGGAGTCGTGTTTGTTTCGTTCACATGTTCAACATAAACGAGTTCTTCTCTCAAACTGAAAACACTCTGCTCCACCTTGTGATGTCATCGTGTGGTGATACAGGAAGTGCTCCACTGTGTTTTTAAACTCCACACACCTTCACTAGAATCACCTGGATCATTTCAGTCCTGGAGTTGTTGATCTCGACTCAACTAAAGGGAAAAGGAGCTGAGAACTTGATGACATCACGAGGTGGAACAGAGCGTCTGGAGGTTTGCAGATGTAACAGACTGAGAATAAAGAGTCACTCAAACAAACACGACTCCAGCTCTGAGTGAGACCAGGACCACGAGAACAACAGAACATGAGAACAACAGAACATGAGAACAGAACATGAGAACAGGAGAACAGGAGCGTCTCCTCTGTGGTTGTGGTGAAGTGCGCTCCCTCTAGTGGTCGTTTTCAGTAAGACATTTCCAAAGAATTCTGGGAAACGGAGTCAAACTGTGCCAAGTGTCAAAAGCAAACGACGTCTTCAAACGAGAACCACAGACTCACGTCTGCATCCAGAACGACTGGAACCACGAGCGAGAACAAACCCACTGAAGGAACCAGGATCAACAGGAACATCAAGACTGGTTTAGTCCTGGTTTAGTCCTGGTTTAGTCCTGGTTTAGTCCTGGTTTAGTCCTGGTTTAGACCTGGTTTAGACCTGGTTTAGTGGTTTAGTCCTGGTTTAGTCCTGGTTTAGACCTGGTTTAGTCCTGGTTTAGTCCTGGTTTAGTCCTGGTTTAGTCCTGGTTTAGTCCTGGTTTACCTGGTTTAGTCCTGGTTTAGACCTGGTTTAGACCTGGTTTAGACCTGGTTTAGACCTGGTTTAGTCCTGGTTTAGACCTGGTTTAGTCCTGGTTTAGACCTGGTTTAGACCTGGTTTAGACCTGGTTTAGTCCTGGTTTAGTCCTGGTTTAGACCTGGTTTAGTCCTGGTTTAGTCCTGGTTTTAGACCTGGTTTAGTCCTGGTTTAGACCTGGTTTAGACCTGGTTTAGACCTGGTTTAGACCTGGTTTAGACCTGGTTTAGACCTGGTTTAGTCCTGGTTTAGTCCTGGTTTAGTCCTGGTTTAGTCCTGGTTTAGACCTGGTTTAGACCTGGTTTAGACCTGGTTTAGACCTGGTTTAGTCCTGGTTTAGTCCTGGTTTAGTCCTGGTTTAGTCCTGGTTTAGACCTGGTTTAGTCCTGGTTTAGTCCTGGTTTAGTCCTGGTTTAGTCCTGGTTTAGTCCTGGTTTAGTCCTGGTTTAGTCCTGGTTTAGTCCTGGTTTAGACCTGGTTTAGTCCTGGTTTAGTCCTGGTTTAGTCCTGGTTTAGTCCTGGTTTAGTCCTGGTTTAGACCTGGTTTAGACCTGGTTTAGTCCTGGTTTAGTCCTGGTTTAGACCTGGTTTAGTCCTGGTTTAGTCCTGGTTTAGTCCTGGTTTAGACCTGGTTTAGTCCTGGTTTAGTCCTGGTTTAGACCTGGTTTAGTCCTGGTTTAGTCCTGGTTTAGACCTGGTTTAGTCCTGGTTTAGACCTGGTTTAGACCTGGTTTAGACCTGGTTTAGACCTGGTTTAGTCCTGGTTTAGTCCTGGTTTAGTCCTGGTTTAGACCTGGTTTTAGTCCTGGTTTAGACCTGGTTTAGACCTGGTTTAGACCTGGTTTAGACCTGGTTTAGACCTGGTTTAGTCCTGGTTTAGTCCTGGTTTTGTCCTGGTTTAGTCCTGGTTTAGACCTGGTTTAGACCTGGTTTAGACCTGGTTTGGTCCTGGTTTAGACCTGGTTTAGTCCTGGTTTAGACCTGGTTTAGTCCTGGTTTGGTCCTGGTTTAGACCTGGTTTAGTCCTGGTTTAGTCCTGGTTTAGTCCTGGTTTAGTCCTGGTTTAGACCTGGTTTAGTCCTGGTTTAGTCCTGGTTTAGACCTGGTTTAGTCCTGGTTTAGTCTGGTTTACCTGGTTTAGACCTGGTTTAGTCCTGGTTTAGTCCTGGTTTAGACCTGGTTTAGTCCTGGTTTAGTCCTGGTTTAGACCTGGTTTAGTCCTGGTTTAGACCTGGTTTAGACCTGGTTTAGTCCTGGTTTAGTCCTGGTTTAGTCCTGGTTTAGTCCTGGTTTAGACCTGGTTTAGACCTGGTTTGGTCCTGGTTTAGACCTGGTTTGGTCCTGGTTTAGTCCTGGTTTAGTCCTGGTTTAGACCTGGTTTGGTCCTGGTTTAGACCTGGTTTAGACCTGGTTTAGACCTGGTTTAGTGGTTTAGTCCTGGTTTAGACCTGGTTTTAGTCCTGGTTTAGACCTGGTTTAGACCTGTTTAGTCCTGGTTTAGACCTGGTTTAGACCTGGTTTAGACCTGGTTTAGTCCTGGTTTAGACCTGGTTTGGTCCTGGTTTAGACCTGGTTTGGTCCTGGTTTAGACCTGGTTTAGTCCTGGTTTAGACCTGGTTTGGTCCTGGTTTAGACCTGGTTTAGACCTGGTTTAGACCTGGTTTAGTCCTGGTTTAGTCCTGGTTTGGTCCTGGTTTGGTCCTGGTTTGTGGTCGTGTATAAACAGGTGCATTGTGGGAGTTGGAGTTTGTTCCAGGTTAAAGTTCCACAGTGGAACATTTGAACAAACTGGAGCTGATGAAGAGTTTGGATCAGAGTCTCACAGTTAGAAAAATAAAACTCATCATTAAATTCAACATAATAAATCAAATCAAATCAAATAATAAAACTGATGTTTGAGTCGGACGAAGATCTGAATCAAAACTTTTCTTTTGTTGATATTTGTGAATTTCTCCTGGTGTAAAAATGTGTCTGAAACAAAATAATATTTAACTTCTACAGATTCTTATAAAAAAATCACATCAGTGAAATAAAAACGTCATTTCAGGAAATTCTGAACATTTTAAATGAATTTTGTTCTTTGAAAAATGCACTTTTCTGTTTTGCACTGATGCTGTTCAATAAAATGGATGAACTATAAAAGAACCTGCTGTAGTCCTGGTTTAGTTCTGGTTTAGTCCTGGTTTAGTTCTGGTTTAGTCCTGGTTTAGACCTGGTTTAGTCCTGGTTTAGTCCTGGTTTAGTTCTGGTTTAGTCCTGGTTTAGACCTGGTTTAGTTCTGGTTTAGTCCTGGTTTAGTTCTGGTTTAGTTCTGGTTTAGTCCTGGTTTAGTTCTGGTTTAGACCTGGTTTAGTTCCTGGTTTAGTCCTGGTTTAGTCCTGGTTTAGTCCTGGTTTAGACCTGGTTTAGTCCTGGTTTAGTCCTGGTTTAGTCCTGGTTTAGTTAGTCCTGGTTTAGTTCCTGGTTTAGACCTGGTTTAGTCCTGGTTTAGACCTGGTTTAGACCTGGTTTAGACCTGGTTTAATCCTGGTTTAGTCCTGGTTTAGTTCTAGTTTAGAGCCTGGTTTAGTCCTGGTTTAGTTCTGAATTTTTATTTATTTTTTTAATCTAAAATGTGAATGTGAGAAAATGTTGAAAAAACTTGATGAAAAATGTGAGACAAAAATGATGAAAATAATGAGTGTGAGAAAAACTAAAAAATTGATGAAAAAAAATGTTTTGGTGGAAAAATGCCGGAGTGGAGGAGGTTGTTGCTGGTGTCGAGGGTGAGAAAAGTGAATTGAAAATTCTGTGTATATTTAGTAAAAATAAATAAACTTGGAGTGAGTGTCACAAAAATTATAAAGTCAGTGATTTTTTTTTTTAAGAAGCTGAAAAACTTTGGTAGAGAAAGTAGAAAAGTCATGGGAAAGTTTCTAAATTGGTTTGTTCGTCTGGAAAGTCGAGTCTGAGGGAAAAGTGGGAGAAAGATGAAAAAGGGAAAACTGGAGGGAAAATGTCAAAGATTTTTGAAAAAAAAAAAAAAAAAATACTATGAAAGAATAACTGAAAATTTGACAGAAAACTGGAAAAATATTGAAAATTGGGGAAAATGAAAAAAAAAAAAAAAAAAGGACAAATGAGAAACTGATGTGCAACTGTGAGAAAAAAAGTACAAAAAAGAAAAAAAAATCAGAAAAAAAAGTTGAAAAAAATTTGAACATTTTGGGAAATTTCAAAATATTAAGGAGAAAACTGAAAATTTGGGTGAAAAAATAAAAAGTTGAGGAGAAATTGTTGTAGTGTAGAGTGTGAAAAAAATAATGAAAATGAATTGACTGGATTGAAATTTGTGTTTATAATCAGTAAAAATTAATAAATGAAGATTTATTCAGACAAGAAGCAAAGAACCTGCAGAGAAAATGTAAAAACAAAAATAACTCAAAAAGATATTTTCTATAATAATAAACAAAATAAATGTCATGCAGATTTTACTTGTGTCTAAAAAATATATTATAATTTATAATTACAGTAAAATATGATTATTATCTGGTTTAGTCCTGGTTTAACCTGGTTTAACCTGGTTTAACCTGGTTTATCCTGGTTTATGGTTTATGGTTTATTATGGTTTAATAATTCTGGTTTAGACTGGTTTAATTTAATTAATTATAATTATAATATGATGATAATGAAAATAATAATTATGAATAAAACTGGTGTAAAATGTGAAAAAAAATTTGTCAATAAAAAAAAAAAAATAATAGATATAAAACCCAGAGATGATCTGAAACACGGACTCTGAAAAAAAGTGTTGTGGATGTTTGAGTGAAGCGAGTCGCCAGAAAAAAAAAAATTTTATGATGCAATGCCAAAAAAAAAAAAAAAAAAGTAAGAAAAAAATAAAATAAATAAATAAATAAAAAGTGACATTTCCACATTTACTGCCAAACATCAATAATAATAATAATAATAATAATAATAATAATAATAATAATAATAATAGTACATTTTATTTATATTGCACTTTACATAAAATAATCTCAAAGTGCAACAGGTAAAAACAATGAGTAAAAAAGTGCAGAGACACGATCTTCAAAACGTCTGGAACTAAATCGTCTGAAGTGATGAAAACAAAACTGAACTTTTTGGCCACAACCATAAAACATAAATTCTTCCAGTGAAAGTGAAACGTCTGAACAAAAGTGTCCAGGACAAACTCAGATGTTTGATTTGATTGTCTGTGTTTCTACTTTGTTCTTCCCACAGACTCTGACCTTCAGACTCTGATTCTGCTGGGAAACTCTTAGTGACAAAATGTGATCGTTTCTCGTTCTTCTCCAGTCCGTCGGTTTCAGCAGTGACTCGTCTCCGGCGTCGACTCGGTGTGACTCGTTTTGTGACGTGTTCGGTCGTCGGCTCCAGGTCGACTCGAGTTTGGTTCCAGCTCCACAAATGTTTGTCCCTGGAACATGAAGAATCTGGAAAAGTTTCATGTTTGTATCATAAAAGTGAAAACAACTGTGCACTTTGACTTAGTCCTTAACATCTCCACTGTGTGTGTGTGTGTGTGTGTGTGTGTGTGTGTGTGTGTGTGTGTGTGTGTGTGTGTGTATGTGTGTGTGTGTGTGTGTGTGTGTGTGTGTGTGTGTGTGTGTGTGTGTGTGTGTGTGTGTGTGTGTGTGTGTGTGTGTGTGTGTGTGTGTGTGTGTGTGTGTGTGTGTGTGTGTGTGTGTGTGTGTGTGTGTGTGTGTGTGTGTGTGTGTGTGTGTGTGTGTGTGTGTGTGTGTGTGTGTGTGTGTGTGTGTGTGTGTGTGTGTATGTGTGTGTGTGTATGTGTGTGTGTGTGTGTGTGTGTGTGTGTGTGTGTGTGTGTGTCTGTGTGTGTGT